GGGGGGGGTGTGTGTGGAGGAGAGCGGGCGGGGCGGGAGGAGCGCGGCCTCACGGTGCGGTGCCGGTGTCGGGAGGGGGGTGCAGGCCTCTCTCCTCCCTCGGCTGAAGGGATCGGGCCGGTGAGGGGATGGTAGGTCCTCTCCTCGCCCCGTTGGCCGGAGCCAGCCCCGGGTGAGGGGCGCAGGGGTGCCGAGCGGCCGGCGAGCGGGGCCGGGGTAAGGGCTCCGGGCTGCCTCGTCTTTGGATCCCCCTCAGCTTTAAGGGGCGACTGATCTTCGCTCCGTTGTTACTAGACCGGCTTCCCTTCGTGCCTGGGCCTTAGCTGCCACAGAAGGTCTTCGCCTGTGTGGAACCGAGCTTCAGCCTTGTCTCACCTAATACTGCATCTTGCGGCTGACCACAACTATAAATTTTAAGTTTAATCCATGACCATGGCCTTATCGCCGAGATCCAGTGCTCTGAAAAATGAGTTTCCAAACATTCTAGTAGTTAACGGTGAGAAACTGTTGTTTTCCAGGCACTGTGAATAGCATAATTACACTCTTTGTTATCGTCCTGAAGCATAGCTGGGAACGTGGATCAGAAGATAATGAGATCAGCAGCCCTCAAGACGGGAGGAATTTGCAAGTTGCAGCTGTGAGAGGTCGGTGGTGCTGAGCACCGGTGGTGCAATTCCCAGCTGGCAGCATCAGATTCTGCTCGCTGGAATTGCCCATCTCATCTCTCCTCTGCCAGTTCACGCACTTCTGTCAAAATGAGGCCACTGGGGTCTGTCTCTGGAGAAGTGTAATTAAAAATTTGTCCCATTCTCAGTCTGAAGCAACCCATTAACAGCCATACAATTCCTGCTACACTTAAAAAATACTGACATCACCAAAGATCTTGCCATCTGTGCCAGAAAAATAAACTTAACCCAACTTGTTCCTGTAAGGAGACCAGCAGCATCCATGTAACACCCTGGTTGAAAGGATTAACCTTATTGTCGTATTGTTTGCTCTATTAATGGTGATGTATTTAGATGTTGGATTTAATTCCCTAAGAAGAAAGATCTTTTTTTCTGTGTACTTTTTTGAATGGTGTGTCTACAGCTGGGGTTACCAAATAATTTATCAGCACCTTCTAGGCTAAGTTATGAAAGTCTTGGTGCTAGTGCAGAGGAAAACACTGATTTGGCTCCGCTGGCTCACTGGAGGAAATTTCTTCTCTTCAGCTGATGGGAAGGCACGGGAAATTGCCTTCATACAGACAAGGTCCACTGCCTTGACACTGGTCACCATCTGTTGCCCATCCCTGTGGAAAGTGGCACCCCCTGTGTTGTCCCTGGTGGTCGCAACACTAGGAAGGCAACTCACCTGGTAGGACAGCCGTTGACTTTAGTGCTGTCCCTGCAACCTAACTGTGCTCAGCTTGGCTTGCTACCTAGCCATTGGAACAGGGCACAGGGCTTGCCACTGCCAGCAGCAGAAGGGCTTTAGGCTCAGCTTCTTCCGCCTACAGCTATGTCCATTGGGATTTCTGAAGTGTTGCCGACTGTTATTCTAAGCAGGAGCTTCAAAAGGAATCTCTTGCCCACGTGTGACTGATCCCATGCAGCAGAAAGGGGCAAAGCTTCTGAGGCATCCATTCCCCCATCCCAGGCTCACAGCCACCTTTGAGAGACCTAGAAGGGGTCATGGGTAGAAAACCAATAATAAACTCTGCCTCTTTCGGCAAAGTATGTCCAGCTATGTGAACTATTTGTAATACTGACAGGCCAGGAAGTCAGCTTCAACACCAGACCTGTAATTGTCCAGGCTGCCTAATTGCTAGCTTGCTCCCTGGCTCTGTTTTGCAACTGCTTTTAATTAATCCTCTTCAAAACAATGTCCAGGGATATTATTTCAATGACAGTTCACTCCAAACACAGCTCCCAAGAGAGCAGTGTGGATTGGGGGAGCCTGCCACTCGAGATAGAACTCCAATAATAAAAAAAAAAATCACCACGAGGGTGACTAAGCACTGGAACATATTGCCCACAAAGCTCTGGGAAATCTCCCAGATGGATATGCTCACAGCTTGGCTGAGCAAGACCTTCAGTACTGACCCAGCACTGAAGTGAGACTGGCTTTGAGCAGATGGTTGGGCTAGCCAATCTCTAGCAGTCCCTTCAAACCAACATTTTTCCATGATTCTTCAGGCTTTGAACCCTCAAGTACCCTCAGATGCTCTCAGCCCTACATTGCAGGGTCTGAGATACACACGCTTATTTATGTTCATGAAATAGAACCCGCTGCCTCGGTGAACTGTAGGTCAGTGTTCAACATCAGGAACTTGGAAACAGAAAACAACCCCATCCCGTGTTAGGGCCACAGGGCCACAGAGTCGAGAGGAGACCTGCGGCTGCACAGCAGAAACGAGGCGGCTGTGTTGTGGATGGATGTAACCCCATGCAACGTGGACATAAGCCAAGTCTTGCCATTTAGCCTCAGGGTCAGGGACCCTTCCCGACTCCTTGAGCAGTAAGGCTGTGCATGCATAGACTGAAGGAAAAGGTGTACAGTCAGTGTAACATGAAAAACCTAGAAAAAGAAGGTACAATTTCAAGGAAGCATGGCTGAGTATGGTCTACTGAATCCACGGCACGGTCCAAAATCCCAACAGTGCTACCATGCTAGTTATGTAAACGTTTTTTGGGGACATTTTAAGCTTTTCCAGTCTTTAACACAGTCAGGACTGCATTCAGTTACTGAACTGTTATGGCATTCAATAACTATGTAGGATAAAATAGTTGAAAAATACCCTACCTAGCACTACACTGGAAGTTTACGGTGACAGTTTCATAATGATGAAAGGAGGAGAGGAAAAGTTGATAGGAAAGTGTACATTTTAAACTCAGACAAGTTCTTTTCTTTAGGAAAACCTAGCGACCGTGCCAATTCAGAAAACATCCAGAAGAATCAAGCTGTTCTTTATGAAACAAACTGCGGTTTCTTTCACGAACCTAAGAATTACAGAGCGATAGTTAGGAAAGGCGTATGTCTCCTTTAAATCAGGATAATAAGGAAGTATTTACATAAAGTCACAGTTAAAAGCATAAGGAACCAAGATAGCCTAGTTGCTTTCCCACCCTTCACAGCACTCATTTAAGAGAGGTGATACAAGGTTTAATAACATAGCCTTTATTGATGACACTGGAAAGCAGATGTTTTAAAGCAACTAATTTTTCATAAACAGGAAAGAAAATTTTACTTCCTATGAGGTAATTACATAAAACCTGTTTCAGTCACTAATATAAAAAAAAATATTTGCGTACTTTGTAATGTAGTACCTTCAAGAAGCCCTAAGTAACTGTATTTTCTATAAGAAAGGGAAAAACAAAACAGATTTGCATGGACAGAAGTCAATAGTATAAAACAATTACATGTATGTTATAAGGAATTCTGAAGATTTGTGAGCTCAGTTCTTGAGGATGGCTAAAGAAACAGATCCTAGCAGGATCAAACCTTTTATATTTACACTCATAGGTGTAAAAGTAATCTCGCCAGTTAATTGTAATAGGCATTTTCAGTATTATTCTGAAAATTAAGGAAGTCTAGAAGCTAAATTTTAAGCTCAGGTGTTCACATTTGAAATAAAATACTTCTCACATCCTTTATAATTAAGGCAAAGTATGTTATCTTTTGAAAATACCTTGTATATAGTTTCTGCATAAAAATATGAAATAAAAAATAAAACTATATATATATTTAATGGAACACTGTTATGTATGGTCCAGCAGAATAAGGCACAAAAAGTAAATAGAATGCAAAAGCATATATAAAAGTTAATGTGTTATTTTGAGTGGAATATAGCAAAATTCAAGTAGTTCTGAGTATGCTCATTTCTTGCAATAGGAATATACATTTCATATAGGTATTTCATGCTAAGCCTGATGTACAAAGATTCACCATGTGAGCGTAATCATTCAGAAGTAGGTCATTTGTACACTGACTGTATTTAGAAATCCGATACTTTTCAAACCATCTGAAACAAAACTCCTTTAATGAGATGACTTGGCCTGAAATCCAAGCGTGAATTTTTCCACGAGGCAAAGTATGTTGGTTTCTTGCCGGAGTCACTTGACTTGGGCAATTTTTGTGTGCATGCTTAATTTGAAGGTTAATACTTTCATTAATATAAATGACAACACATGCCCCTAAAGTTGAACACATTTGCACAGTTTGTTTTTGCGGGTATTCATTCACAAGCAAATTTTCTGTCTGTAAATTTCTGCAGAGATTACTGTGCAGAATGTGCCGCTTGCATCAGTTCAACTGTATTATCAGGGTCAGAAACTTTTCAGGTGAGCTACTATTTAATTTAGTTTGGAAGTACGGTCTGTTTATCAACAAATAAGCATACATGTATAGAGAGCAGAGAATCTCACGATGTATCGATTTGATCCCCTTCTGGCATACTCATTATTTGTTGTCTGATTGCAGCCTCAAAGCAGCCCCCCTCCCCAGGTAATATATTTAAGATTTTCACAAAGGAAGGGGAGAGCAGATGAAGTCTTTACTTCCTTCCCAAAGTTTCAGCTAGTTTCTTCAGTCTTTTCTTCAGCTCTAGAGGAAACTTCTCATAACACTTTTTGCAGACAGGCTTCATATCAAACTCAACAAATTTATTCCTAAAACGACAAGGCAAAAACCAGAAAAAGTTTTAGCAGCAGGGATAGTGAAAAAAATTTTGAGAAGTATCCTATTAAATGTGCACAGGCAAAACATTACAACTGCAATTTATACATATATATGGAGTTACTTTCACAAGGTTATACATTGTAGACAGTAGTTACAATACCCTGTTGAGTGAGTTACGCAGTTTTTACCCAAATGTCCATTTTTATTAACTGTGTCATTTAAAAAGCCTTTCAAACCTAACTGTAGAGCTAAACAGAATAAACATAAGATAACGGAATAACAAGTTAATATTTCAAGTTGCAGTTGTGTGAAAAATATTTAAGGTTTGCTTGCCATAAATTCATGCCAAAACTTAAAATAAAAGCATCCTTAGCACTGACCAAAGAAGAAAGGAGCAGAGGTGGCGGTGAGAAGGAAAAAAAGTTTACAAACAGATTGGCTTTTTCTTTTTCTGCTTCTCTTTATCCTTTGCTTCACGTTCCCGTTTGGCAAGTCGTCGCTTAAATTCATCTGGCATTTTCTCATAACAGTGTTTGCAGACAGGTTTTAGATCAATTTCAACAAACTTATCCCTTTAGAGTTAAACACAGAAAAAATAAAGGACAGAAAAGGAGAAGAGTTAAGAAGACCAACTGAAAGAAGACCTGAACAGACAGCTAAAAGAGATGTAAATTAGTAAGTGGAGCAAGAGGAAGAAAGATAAACGTATTTTTTTCAATGCTTATATGGTTTTCATACTGTACCAGTAACAGGATAGCAACATCTACATTTTAAAGATAATCACTGATATGTTTTGAAGGCATCACACCTATTGATAAACTTACTTAAGTGTTAACTTAGTGTTGCAAGTTGAACAAGCGAAACAGTTTACACACCATGCCTTATTCAGAGCAGACACAACTAGAAGAAAAAAAAAGGAAATAATTAGCATTACAGAAAAGAAAAAAAAGGTATTACAAAAATGTTAAGCTTACACGTTCACGAGGCAGGAAGAACAGTCATTTGATTCTTGTATTAAGTATTAAGGACCGTAAAAACAACGTGGCACGGCGAAGAAGGCACACGTGAGTGTAGTGTAGCAGGACAGTGAAGCATTGATAAAGCTGTCTCCGAGGGTACATACAACTCTGTGTTCACCAGCAAGACCAGTTTAACCTATTTCTGCCTCCTGTTGCCTGCTTCCACCTCATCCCATAGCACGCTGACCTCAGGTAACTGTTTCATGAGGCTGTGTTTCCAACTTTATCAGGAGACTTTTTCAGCTGAAAAGCAATCCAGCAAGAAGGTGCTTATGTTTTCATTCGGTTTCATTTCTCAGCTCCTGTTCTGACCGCAGTGCCATCAACTTGCCTGAAAATAACTTGAAGCCAACAGTCAGGACACTGCTGGTAAATCAGCACTACCAAGGTGAAAAAAATTATAGACCCATGGGATAAATTACTTGGTCAAGACAAACTTGAATATATTTTTATTCTTTGCTTTGGAGAGAAAGTAACTATTTTCTCTTTGTTGTGTATCTCAATCTGTCTTCTGTTGCTCCTCTCTTTCAATGTATCTTTCCACTTTCCCCTGCCAAAATTTGCCTCTTGTCTTAATCTAAGTTAGAAGATGCAGGAGAATGGTTTTCTCATAAAATACAGCATTTTGTCAACAACAAACAGAGCCAGAGCATTGTCATGCAGAGCTTTTTTCCCTGTAACATGGGGCAACATCCACAGAAGCATAGTTATTCCACTACTTGCCAAAATAATACTAGTCAGACGAAAGCTCCCAAGCAACCTCTGTAATAGTCATGGACGCCCTCCTGAAAAACTGCTGCCACAGATGTTTGTTTGACCCGAGAGAGAATAATACCAGATACTCATCATTTGTGACAGCAGTGTCAAATTTGTGAGCAGAAATAAAAGAAGAAATGTAAACTAATTGACAACGTACGTTGAAAATAAAGAAATTACTGCATTACACCACGTTCTGTTCAGTTCAGAGACCAAAACATACAATATGCGTGTCAGATTATGTGGTGTAACATTAGAAACATACAGAAATGCAGTTATCAGACATGGCTGAATTTATTCATTCACCCAAGATCCAGTTCTACTCATTCTAGTAGGATTTTAATGAAAAGGAGGACACTGTTTCCTCCAAGGCGTTCTGGATTGTCGTTCTGCAGGTATAGTCCGGTCCAGAAAAGGTGGGGAAAGCACATCTCTGGAATGTAAGTCCCACCCTATATTTACATGACTGTAAACTACTTTATGTCTTTTTTTCACATGGTAGAGGCTTCCTCCCACTTTGCTAATGGCTTCGGCTTAGGTGAGGCTAACGCTGGTATTACACTATTTACTTCAGGCAGGGGTAAATAGGCACATAATAATGTTGCATTATTTCAGGTAGAATAATTTGGTTTTTGGCATTTTATCATAGCTGGTTGTCAAAAAAAACCAAAACACAACCCAACCTTCAAAACACTTCCTCCACCCCCAAAATAAACCCCCAAACTTAAAACACTTGCATCCAGTTCTGCCTTTATAGGACACATCTTCCCTGGTTTTGTGACATTATCATCAGCCTAGAGTTTCAAAAGACAGGTGCCTGTGATAGACAGGTAGATATGTCTAGGAACCAAACTGAAATAATGGAAACTAGGCACTTTAAAAATATCCCTTAGAGTGCCCACCCACATCTTTCAATATCTACTTTTTCAAATTTGGTTCATAATCTCTAAATTTGTTGAGGAGATGCGTGTGTGGTCATCCTTGCCTTTGCCCGCGTTCTTTTTTGAAGCTGGTGGGGCAGGAAGCCACCTCTGTGCATGTCCCACCATCCCTGGCCTTTGCACGTTACTGAAGGGTTTCCAGTTGACCACAGTTCTCTTCAGTCACTGGGTGGTCTTCCACATCATCATGAAACACCATTTGGTCTCTGACTAATCATCTTTAACCTAATTTCTGATTAAGAGAATGGCTGGTTTTGTTTTAATGAGAATAATCAAGGATTCAACAGGGAGCTGCTTTCCCCTTATTTCCACTTTTAAACAGAACTTCCATCAGAAAGGAAAATGAAGGAAACAGTTAGAACAGTGCTTACCATCTCCTTCAATCACACGGTTGCAATGGAAACAAACATCACCAAACAGCTGAAGATGAAAGAGAATTAATGAATTTTTAATGTAATTATTTATCGAGGGTAGATTTTCAAATTAACAAAATAACTATATTTCAGCTGATGAGCATAACAGCTTTCCTATTTATTTCAGTAAAGAGAACGCTGGAAAGTCTGGTTTGGTTTGCCAAGTACGTTTTGCATCATCTCATCACAAAAGGTCTTTACAATTTAAAGATGAAAACATCTGTTTACATCTGTTTGATCCTCTGTAAATACAATTTTGTTTTGTTTTAACATTTCTTTAATCCTGAATATTTGAAACACAGCAGTCGGTGTCACATACACGTCGTTACTAATCAGCCAATTTAACATTTGGACTTGCATGCATGACTAGAACAAAATATTGCTGTTTCTGTCAAAAACTGTAAATAAATGTTATTTTTATTTAAAAAAAAAGGGAAATTTAGGCCCAAAATTATTCATTCTATTTCCAGGCTTAACATTTGTCCACAATGTAACAGTTAAGAAGTTCCCAAAATTTCACGTATTTTTCCTAACTGCAGTAGTTAACCTAGTAAAAGACACCCATGTACTTGCCCCATGACGGCTTCAACACTATTACTACTAATGTCATGGCATTTATCGTCTACAAGTATGCCAGCAACATTTCAATCATCTGCCCTTAATCACTGACAAATTAAGAATCCATCTGTAATTAGCAGATGCCTTACAACTCCCCGGTGTAACCCCTCATCTTGCATTTCTACAAGCGAAGAGGTGGACGTGGCACAAGGCAGATGGCTTTCAAATGAAAAGGTCTATACATCGTGGTAAGGGAGTCTGGAGAGAGATGGTACCATGGTATGTAAGTCCTATATGAATGCAAGTGGTCACTAGGTGGTGTTCTCTGACAAACGTAGTCGTCACAGTCTTCAGCAACCTCATGAATGCGCTGGGTCATGCAGAGCATGTTAACACACAGTCATTTTAGAGAAGCAGCTGTAGGGAAAACCACACTACTCACGAGGACCTCATCTTAAACCGCAGCTACTGAGTGGCAAATCTTTAGCTTCTTGAGAAGGACTGGGTATCATTAGCTGCTCTGATCCCACAGCCGTGTAAAAGCTCATAACAGCTCTACTTAAGTACGACTAAGCTTGAAGAACAACTCGATACTGATTGTCCTGGCTAGCTTTTGAGGAATACCTGCAGTTCTCTTTCTCAATACCAGACTGATGTATAGAAAAACCCACATAAATTAGCTGCAACAGAACAGTTGCAGAACATCTGCATCTACACCCACAGTGGCCTATAAGAAAACAGAAGAATGTCCACGGTTTTCGATCTCTATCTAATAAAACCAATTAACAAGTTTACCAATTAACACCATTTTAAAAAATATACAACCTTACCTGATTGTAGTGGGTTTCACAATACGCCAAGCCTTTTCTCTCGTAATGACGATGACCCAGGAATGGCTTTTCACATTTTGCACAAACAAAATGCTACGAAGAAAATGACATAAATTTTTTTGGTTTGTTTGGAAGTAATGGTATTTTTTTCTGGAAAGCAAACCAACCAAGCCCAGCACTGAACATGACTGAAGTCTACTGAGCTACCTGTGCCATCCTGAAAATGAGAAGTAAAACTTTGTACATTTTAGACCACTGAAATAACAGTCCTTTTAATGTATTCAACATTTCAATCCAAAAGTTACCAAAAAAAAAAATCAGGTAAAGGGATGCTCATACGTTATTAATGAACAAAATGAAGAGATTTTACATAATTTGCACCAACATTACGCTGTCAGGAAGAAAGCATTTGCTGGAGGAGATTTTCAAAACCACAGAAGGAATGGACTGTTGTCCATTTGTATGGAAGATGTGGAACTAAATCTTGTACATGGCCTCGAAATACAAACTCTCACAGAAAGTGCTTTAGAGATATTTACATGACAGGCGACTATGGAAGACACAGTCACCCTCGTATTATGATGCTCAGTAACAATATGGTTGCCACAGAATTTACTGCCTTTCCACATGTACTGCTTTGCACTCTGAAATTTTCTTTCGTAAGGACCTCACAGTGCTTCCTTTGATTACTGATTTTAGTTTCACAGTCAAAGCTCTCTGTAAGGTAGGAAATAACTCCTATTTCACAGCGGAAGAGCAGCCACAAGAAGGTTGAAGATGGGATTAGGAGAAGGCATTTACTAACCATTGCTGCATACTTTGCTAATCCTTTCATTGAAATTGATCAGCAAAATCTCAGTTAAGTATGTTAATGTTTACATTTGTAAAAGACAATATACAGCATCTGATGTTTACCTCCACGTGCCATTGTTTGCCCATGGCATTCACCACACGGCCTTCAATTGGTCTTCTACACGCCCCACAGATGGGGACACCCATTTTGTCATGGCAGGGTAAGCAGTACAATTCTCCCTTCAACTCACGAGCATCAGCAGTAAGTTCCTTCCTGTTCAAAAGTTAATGAATTGAGAGCATGAATAAAGGCACTGAACGATGTCAACTCTTGAGAGTTTCTGAAAAGAAAAAAAAATTAATTTTTAGCATTTGTTTTAGAAATTGCGTTTGTACTACAGTAATGCAGCAGCAGCAAATATGACACAGTTCAATATAGTTCAAGACTGATCAAGTCCACAGTAAACTGAGAAGAGGCTGCTAAGCGAGATGCACTAAGTCTCTGAAAACAGCTACTGAGCTGTTGTCATTTTGCATTCTGGTTATGTAGCACAAATGTGTGTGTGCAAGCTGTAGACATGTTTGGCTTACATTCTGGCACTCCTCACCCATTTATTTTAGATTTGCATAACTAACTGAAAGTAAACAGTAGTCCTCTACATCTAGGTACATTTTCTCTGTTGTATCAAACTTCAGAGAAAGAAAACTATGAGCTAGCTATGTTTATTCATTGCCAATTGCAGAATCTCATATACTCTACTTCTTAGTAATTTGCACGGTTGGAATACCGAGAACAAAGCGTGACTGTACTCGCTAATGCTCTCAACTGGTTGCCACTGACACACCACCACGTTGTTATTCAAATCAGCCTTTGCTACAGCACTGAAACGATAGCTTCCTTTGCACCAGAAATAAACAACTAATAATCCGTGCTATATCCTACTATGCCCCCCAATCTCTGCATCGAGGCAGGATGTAGAAGTGTGCAGCTTCATGTACTGCAGTTGCAGAAGCTGATAAAATGAGGTGGGAGACAGCTTCTAAGGAAAAGACGGGCCTTAAAAGGAGAGAACAAAGTTTGCATGCCACCCAACTGAAAACAAATAACATAGGCAAGATGGTAACTCCAGCAGCCAAAGAGGACAGCTTTTCTTCCTCTCAGAGCAGAATAACAAGCTATCATATCGCTGCTACAGAAACTGTTATGTGCGTCCGTACTTCTTATTTTGTAAGGTACCACTTTGTCCTGCAAAGTCCAACCTACCTTTACTCCCCGACTAGTCAGCTGGTGTTTGAACTAAAGGCCGAACTCCACCATCCCAAAAAGCAGTAACACACATCTGGCCCAAACCCCACCCCTCCTGCCGGTTCTACAGGACAGGTTTTCACTTTAAGATGTAAATCGACAAAGCAAATAAACCCGGCATTTTCCTGTTTTCTTTTGCAGAACACAAGTTACCCGCAGTTTGCACAGTTGAAATGATCAGGGTGATAAGGATCATTTTTGAATATGAGAGGCTGTTCGTCAATAATGGCATGACACTTCTGGCAAATGTACTTTCCCAGGCCTCTGGCTTTTTCCCTGTTATGGCAAGGACGGCAGAGATGTCTGAAACAGCACAAAAAAGAGAGATAAGTAAGGTAAGTAGTGGTACCATGTACTGCAGTGCAAAATATAAACAAAAAAATCTATTAGAATTTCATTTCAATCATCCCTTTAAGGGAAAATAGTCTTTAAAACAATTTCCTTGTTAGGCAAACCAAGTTCAGGAGAGGGAGGGCTATAATTTTATTTTCTGTCACCACAAGGATATAATTTCTTCAGCTCATTTGAGTTTTCAAGATGTGTTGAAACACAGAAAACAAAGTTTATAATATGTTCTCATAGCTGAATTTTTTACTCTCAAAATCTTAAAAAATTAGATTGGAAGCTGCATGATGACAAAGGTTCTAATTCTGTAATTAACTATGTATATCATATTATACATATGAAGCTAATGGCCATAGAATGTTGTAAAACATTCTTGTGATCACAGCTGGTAAAAACATCCTACCCTGTGAAGTGTCCCACTGAACTTAAAGCAATTATTAATAAATAAGGTGCTAAACTAGACCAAAATTGGAAACCCAAGTTGGAAAAAGAAAGTAAAAACTGATATTAAGAAAATAAAGACAATGCTTCTGTATCTGAAAGTTTTCTCTCTTCTTGTGTATCACAATGGCCCAAAGTGTTACCAGGTAGAGAACATGTTTGCTGAGAAACCTGGTATTAAGTAGGTAAACTGTTAATATTTTAAGTGTATATTTTAGGATACCTATTCTTAGTTTTGTGATGCACTCTTAGACCTTTTCCCCACAAAAGACGCTTCAGTTGCTCTACCTCAGCTGCAAAGCTTCAGGAACCAAAACCTCTCAGTCCCCACTCTTAGTTTATTTCATTCATGACCAGTAACAGAAGGAAGGATGAAGATCTACCTGCCAGCATTCTTGACAAATCCAATATCGGCCAATACTTGTTGGCAGATATCACAGCAGAAGCACTCTGGATGCCAACTATTGTTCATCGCTTTAATAACACGACCAATAATGAACTCACCTGTAAGAAACACAATACCAGGATGTAAAAAAACATGCTAGACAAAGTTAAAAGCAACCCACAACCAAATTGCTACAATGTCATCATCTTCTTCCTCCCCACCAAAATCTTGTAGGATACATTGCTTCCAGTATTGCAGTTCTGGTTCTAAACTCTGGAATTTGGGTTTTTTGTTATGGGTCAGAAGAAAACGTCCTTGCTGATGTACATAAAGAACCTTCTGTTCTTTACATACAAGCCCTTCTACACTCACACTCCACCTTCTTCCTGCAATCATCCTTTTCCAGTCCTTTCCCTGTTTTTACTTATCTGTTCTCAAGCTGTGAAGAAATATATGGAGTTCTTCACATAATATAGCTTTATTGTGTCCTAATAATCTTTCTCCTTCTTTTATTTTAGAAGATGACAATTTTAACTTGTCACGTACATAGTAGTGGTTTCTACTCCACTAGGACCAAGCCTTGAAGGGGCTCTATACTTCAAGCACAACAGAACTGAGCTTGGGTGGCTGTGGACCTCCTGCAAAAAAACCTCCACGAAGTCAAAACACAAAGCCACAGTGAAGCTGCAGAACAGTCAACCCAACACACACAAATTCTGGTGTACCATGAGGAGTCTTGTCCTGCGACGCATTAAAAAAAAAATAGTGTGAGAACTACCGTTTTGCATGCGCAGTGTGACTGTAGTGCGTGGGCAGCCGAGCTACGTCCATCACACGTGATTCAGTCATTCTCTATGGGGACGTTGTAGCCAAGGCCCCTGTGCAGGGCAACAGCTCTGCTTAAAATGTGTCAGGAGCTCAGCTTCCCAGTGCCGCGGGGGGCTGAGTCCTGGCTTTGGAGAACGTACAACTCAAACAGCTGCCGAAGGCCAGCGATGGGGCAGGTAACCGATGCCGACTCTGTGGCGCTCCCGTGCAGTCACAGCTTTTCAAGAACACAACCTACTGGACCCCAGAAACGTCAGGAATGCTCAAGGCCTCATCGCTGACAACAGCCCCGTTGATCATGGCTGCGCTTACTAAATCCAAGCAGCGGCAAAGCCCACCTCTGCACAGGACCTTGATGAGGTTTTAAGGGAGCTGCTGCTACATACAAGGAGCCAGGGCAGGAGCGGTGGGAGCTGTGCCGGCTGGGCAGGAGAAATCCTGGAGATAGGCAGAGCGTAGCTCCTCAGAAATCACCACTGACCCCTTTCTTCCTCTTCCCCAGCTTGTTCACATCCACCACTTTGAATTCAGAAGTCCGTAACATCTGCTCAACCCCTCCCTCCACACGGGAAAAGGCCTCACTGAGGTATGTGAAAGCTGTAACACCTTCCCAAGCTGCCTCAGAAACACAAGAGCTTCCAGGCCAGTTTAAGCAATAGTCAAGTAATGACTTCCCAGCCCTGCCGGAGCACGACGTGTCACACACGGAGGTAAAAAAAAACCATACAAATGATTACAGCACAGCAAACGTGCAAGCATTTACATCCATGGTGGCAAATAAAACACGGCCCTCAGTGTTACATAGGGTTGACATCAGACGCTGAAGTCTTAAATGTAGTTGTTTCAAAAATACAAAGGGGGACCAGCTGGCCCATCTGTTGATTACAACATTGGATGATAAAGACTGTCCCTGCTTCTGTGGAGCAGGACAGCACAGGTGGGTTACAAGAGTCAAAACTGATGACAAAGACTTGTTGCAGAGTTTCAGCTGCATGAGTGCATGTATGTGGATGTATGTAACCAGGAGTGATGAATGGGTTCATTGAATCACTGGCCCAACACCTAAACTACTCACTGAAATAATGCAAGCTTTTTTTTTTGTTTGCTTAAATTCCATTGTTTGATGAACTTTAGGAAAAGCAGCTGCCCAAATTCTCTGAAGCCGAGTTCATTCTGGAAGTTCACATACTCAGCGACACAGGGCCACCTCTCTGAGGAGATACACAAGGGCTGCACACCATCCCCACAGACGTTTCTATTTGGGATCAGTGTGAAGTGTTTCACCTCGATGTAATACTTACCACACTGATGGCAACAAGGGGCAAAAAGCATTTGAAAATCATGTTCGCAGTACTTCCTCCCTTCAAACTGCAAATGGAAAAAAAATCTGAGTGTTAGAGGCATGAGGAGCGTGCCCTTAACATAAATGCAGCCACATACCTGTTTGTTTCCAGATGCAATTAGATAGTAAAACATGAGGGGCTGCACAAAAAAACAGACCATGTGCTAGGCATTAAATCCACCCACCTTAATTCAGCTACTCTTAGCCTGCAGCGTTAATAGCTCACCATTCCTCTAATACTGCTGAGACTGTAAGGCATGTTCCGTCACCCATTTACATCACAAGAGACGTCTGAATTTTTACAGACTGCTGACACTCTGATGCAAATGAGCAAATTCTGGGCAGGAAATTAGCTTACAAAAACGTTTCCTGGGGAGAAGTGTTTTCCCTGAACCCATTTGATCCCTTCCCCACTCTACATTTCCTGTAGGAATGGCCCAGTATGGCAGAGGAAGCAAGTATGAGGGAGGAAGAACACCTAGGGACAGAAATCTTTGCAATTTATGGAGCAATACAGCCAAAACACAAAGGAAAATAAGGCTTTCCCTTCATGATGCTTATTTCACAGAATCATTTAGGTTGGAAACGACCCTTAAGCTCATTGAGTCCAGATTTTAAGGATCAAAGTTCACTACATTGACCAGATGAAATAGGGAACCAATCTTAAGGGATTTGGATCTGAATTTTCTCACAGCTTAGAGTAAGTTCATCTGCAGTTCAAGCTCACATAGAAAAAAAAAACAAAACATATGGCAACAAAAAATAAGTTCTACAGCACTGCATTAGCAACTTAGCTGGAGAATATGTAAAAACATGTAGGCAAGTACATCCTGAAATGAGGGGAAATGTTTAGATACCTTCAGGCACATCATTACTAGACACACATGCCAACTAGCATGTCAAAACCAGACAGAGAATATTAGGTATGCTATGAAATGTTTGGATTTGAATGTCTCTGTTTAAAACACTGGAAAAAGGGGGATAGCAGGAAACCTCACTCCTTTCTTTTTACTGGGTCTAACACAAACCAAGCGAATAACACAAAATAACTACCCACAAATACAGTTTTGGTGCACAGACAGAAAATACAGCAACGTGCTTCAAGATAGCCTGGTTTATGCTATGAAATTCCAAGTATACAAATATAGTAATTACTCATGCAATATACAGAGCCACTGGCAGGATGGGAATCTAATGAAACACTCCAGAAGTCACTGGATACTTTAAAACAGAAACTTAATTCCTGAGCCCAACCTGAATTGCACCTACTAGGAACAGAAAGACAAATGGTCAATACAGACTCCCCCAGAAGTCTCTGCTAGCAATTTATCAAGTGTTTTTCCAGTGTAATACTCTAAAACAGATTACTTTTTTAACTGGAGATTTTTTTTTTTTTTTAAATTGAGATACAGAGGGTTATTACTGTCTCAAAGAGTAATGGAAATTTCTGGTTCATTGAGAACCGTGCTTGCTTCAAGCTGGATAAAATCCTTTTTAAACTGAAAAAAATCCAAAATCTTCATGTTTTCTATAAACAGGTGGTCCAACGGGAGATGCTTAGGTTTGCTTGGATTTCAGAGCCACCACAGGTTGATCTGGGCAGACCAAACGGGTTTTCTTCCCCTCTGGTTTGCATCAGGCAGGTTGGTTACCATTCGGTCTTGTTTATATTTTCAACCTTCTCGGCTCGTTTGTGCTGCCTTTTGTGGATGACCCAGCAGTTCATCTGTCAGAGAAAGCCTTGAGCTTCTATGACAAATCCCACAACACATATTTTAAAAGCAAGGTCATTTGACTATTGTTTGCCAAAGGTCCATGAGTTAAATGGCTCTGCATAGAACATTTCACCATGACATAACCTCCAGCTGATCTCCACTGTATCAGCTAACCTAGTGGAAAGACACGCTCAAAAACTGCGTCTTTAAAGACCTCTCCTCTAAGGCAGTTTCTGGTAAAGTCCATTTTAAGAAAACACTCCAGGTGCAACTGGAATAGGAACAAATCTGACAAGCGTGTTACAGCTGCACCTTCCTTTAATCTTCCCATAAGTTATTACAAACATCTTAGAAAAACCCCAAAGCTGAAAGGACCTCCATCTCATTCGGGAGACAAAAGTCCTGATGATGATGATAAATACTACTACTACTACTACTACTACTACTACTACTAATAATAATAATAATAATAATAATAATAAAAAATAATTTATAATTAACAAGAACAACAGCGATACAGATTCCCCAATTATAGCTCTTGTGAGTACTCCATAAGGATTTTGCCGTATTTCTTCTATTGTGGGATGCGTATCTCTAAGCCCTTCCATCTCCCCCACCTTGGCACAGCGCAGACAGACCAGGTTGGGCTTCTTCTGAAAGCACCCAGCAAGAGGCTCTTAACTAACAGCTGGACCAGGGGTAGGAGTCATCTCTTCTAACCTCCCCTGTCTGAAGGTGAGGTGCCCACACTCTCCAGTGGGAGAAACAGGCAGCCTCTAGTAGGAAGAAGCCATTCTTGGACCCAAGAGTAATGTGGGTTGGAGGAAATGCCCGCTGACTGATTACAGTGTGCCCAACCTGTCCCTCTGGGCACGCTGCCACTGAAGTTCTCCATTTAAGCTGACTGTTGTGCTGCTGTTAGTACAGGACTGTGCGCTTCTACCCTGTTGTGAGACTCTGCAACAGCAGCTCTAGGGAATGCACAGCTTCTGGGTGATGGAGTAAAATCAGACCAGAACTGCTGTCACTTCACATCTGATGGCAAAGCACAGTGAGTTCGGAATTTCTGCTGGCATGTGCCTGTGCTAATTTCTGTTTAGGATAAGCGTGTAAGAAAACAGGCTAAACTGATAATACCGAGCAAACTGGAGCACAAATAAACCCTAGCAGGTCCCATGCAACGTTAGGCACAGAGCTCTTGCTTACACCCTTATGCAACAGGACCAACACTGGCTGGTTACAAATCCATATTATAATTTCTAACATAAGTTTAGGAGGACCCCAACAAAATCCCTGCTACGCTGTGCAAACTCCCAGCTGTGGATGGGTGCTGCTCCAGCATGGCACCGCTAGTGCCTGCAAGCGGCTCGGCTCCGATGCCAGACCACGGGGGGCTGTGCTGATGGGGGTCCCTGCAGGCAGCCTGGAGACACATCCTGCGGCGCAGGAGACCTGCACTGGCATTTCTGCCTGCGTAGCCTGACCAGTTCAGTCCCTACTGATGGAACAGAGCGTGAAAGCTTATCACGGCAGCGTTTGACAGCAAATGTGATAAGCAGCTTAATGACTAACTGGGGGAACTCGGCAAGGCTTGCGATAGGCAGAGGAAGAATATTTGACTTCCCGATTGCTAAGAGCTGGAAATCATTTCCAAGAAACACTAGCTTAGCTAAACCGGGCACAGAATAAACATGAAGTCATGCTGAGCCACCAACAATGCCTGTGTTTACTCATGGGGAACTTGCTCAGAAAAACACATTACCTGGCCACACCTCCAAACACATCCATCTTCTCAAAGAGTGCATTAAGCCAGCCAGAGGAAGATATCTTTTCTGCCCGTCTTCTCCAGTCACTTTTTCTTGACAGTGACACAGATGATCTCAAGTCCTCAGAGCACTGTCAGCCATCTCCTAGGCATCAGCCAACCTGAGCCCATGCTCTACTTGCTGAGGGCTCTCCCTTCCTCTCCCCCAAATGCTGCCACCCAGTATGCTCCTAACGCTCATGCCAAGGTGTCAAATGAAAGAAGAGCAAGTTGTGCCCTTGTCACCCCTTCTCCCTGAGCAGCACCACAAGGAAGCATGCTGGGGTTTCCACTGCAATCACCTTACTGACCACTTCAGTACTAGGTCAGAGCCATTCTGGCAGCATGGGATGTGTGGACACCCTAAAGGCACAGAGACAGAAGAGAATGCCCTGCTGCAGATTTCCCAGCTCAAACAGCCCCAAAGGCACGCGGGCTGGGACAGCAGGGATAGCCAGTGACCTCTTCACTCTCTAGAAGATGCCCAGGACAGGCCAGTTATAGATGGGGGAGGAAGGCTGGGTAAGATTTTATGAGCCATCACCTGAAGGCTGTCAGAGGGCTTAAACAGACCCAAAAGTACCTCTCTTCAACAACAGCAGACAGACTTGCTGGTGCGGAGAGAAACTGAAAGATCTTGTGGTGGACACAAGAAAGGCTAGAGGCAGAAGGGTGATATGAATTCAAGCCACACACAAGTCTTTACGTATTTATTTAATCCTCATCACAATTATTAATTACCTCTGTAATAGCTGTGGCAAAAAGTGTCTATTCTTAACTGAAACTTTCCACTTTCTATGTAACATTTCTCAAGAACAAAGCGCCTACCCAGCCTGAAAAAAACCCTAGCAATGTTAACCAAAACACGTTTAGTACATAAGGCTACTTTCATTCCCAAGACAATCTATTGACACTCACATCTGACTTACTGTCTTTAACAGGGAGCACTGCTTTGCAGTAAGAGAGTGCTCAAAGACCAACATGAATATGAATGTTAACAAAGTTGCACTAGGAAACAAAATGCCCACATCCAACATATTTAAACACTACCAGGATACTTGCCCCTGCCAAGGACATTCAGATATGGTCATTGTGAGCAACAGAGGCATTGTAATATTCCTGGATTCGGTGTAAACTTCAGACTTTCTTTCCATTGTGGTCCTCCTCCACCCCCTAGGAGATACAGGCTGCCTAGACCACTATTTCTCAAACTTTTACCTCAAACAAAGGACCATTCAGCCTTCTGAAAGAGGTCACTGGATTGTCCCGCTGTTTTTTGACTCAGAAAAAGTATGAATAAAGTACTCATTATGTAGAGAAAATACATTTTATCGCTTTAAGACAATTTTATTAACACAATTACAAATATTTTAGTTTTAAAACTGTATCACTTTATGTTTGCCTCGGGTCTTAACACGTCAGGACTCCTCACCACACCTGCAAGCAGGCAGCAGCTCAGTATATACTAACAATTGTAATGTAATGTAATGTATAAATATCTAGGGGGTGTTTTGTTTTGTTGTTTTTTTAATTGCTACTGCCTTGCAGCTTACCTTTTGATGTCTTATGGAACGCTAGTGGCTCATTTACCACAATTTGTGCAACACTATCCCTGCAGCACTGAAAAGCCTTTTGATCCTCAAACAAGATGAGAGAAAGCAAACCCCAGGAATCCCCTTTGCCAGTCTCTTGTCCAGTCCACACTCCTCGCTCAGCCTCTCCTCATCAACATGGTAAAATTAGAGGTACTACTGTGGAAGACAGACTGCTGTGCTCTTGCCACACGGATGGCACACTGTATGCGAGAGCACAGCACTGTGCTTTTAGCACACTGCTCTCTTACCTTCCTTTTCAGATCACAGTATGACATAAATCCTGTAACTGCTACTGTAAGCACGTTGGAGTATAAGCTACTTGAGCAGGACCTTATCTCTCAGACAATGATTCCCTGTCTCACGTCATCTACCCTTCCTTATACCAGTCACTTCATATTTTATGAACTAGTCTAAAGCTTTCACTAAAGTCACTTTGTGTTTGAGATAGCTGCGCCACACCTCAATCCCCACGATAGAGGAAGGCAAAAGAAAATGACATTGATATCAAAATACCCATCTGAGCTGAAGGCAATCTACCTGGGGCTGACAAATATGAGTGAGAGCGGGCTTAGACCCTTGAAAGCATGTAAGAACTACCAATTTTCAATGCTTCAGTTTGTTAAACCTAGAGTTGATTCTAGATAGGCCCCGTCTGGTTTGGGCTGTCTGCACACCCGAATCTCAGCATGCTGACTTACAGGTCATCTCTACGAGCAACTTTTCACATGCCATGCTGGCCTCACTCAACTCAGCAATAAGCCTCCTATGGACCGCAGGATGCTGGGGTTTCCTTCTATATGACTGTTCTCCTCTAAAAAGTATGCTTTCTCTGTATTTCTGGTATGATATACAGATTGTCTGCACAGATTTTGGGGGAAAAAGGCTGCACTGAGAGAGAAATCTCCAGCAGTTCTTTTCTCAGCTCTGATAACATGAAGCTACACATTTAAATAAGGTTATACACACTGATGTGCTCCAAATTGGCATAGAAACGTTTCTGCTTTTTTCTCCCTCTATTGGGCTCCTCTCTTTCTCCTCTCTTTTGGAGACCCATTCTTACCACGGAACTGATCACTGCTGATCTGCCCGTAGTTGCTTCTTCTATGAGAAGGAAGGCACAAGGCACAGGCTCGGGGCGAGACAGGGGCTTACCTCGTAGAAGAGCCCTTCGGGGAACTGCTGAAAGCACTGGGCGCAGACGAAGCACTGCTCGTGGTACAGCTCGCCGTTGCTGTTGACGATTTTCTCAGCAGGGGCAAAGCCACCTCTGCAGCGCTCGCAGATGGCATTTGCAAGCGCGTTCGCCATGTTGCTGAAAAAAAGAAACAGAAAGAAAATTAGCCCAAATAGGCAACACCACTGGTTGTGGGGCTCTTTTTTTCTTCCCCAAAGCTAACTGCATCAGCCTAACGTTAGGCAGCTCAACACAAGTTTTCCAATGGACTTAATGACTTGTGGCATCCCCTCAGAAATAAAACTTTCATTTCCCCCTGCTTCCAAGATCTTCAGAAACAAAACCCCTGCAATGTGCTCTAATAACTATTAATTCAAAAAAAACAAACAGAAACATCATTACTACAGATACATTTGCAGGCTTTTTTTATGATAAGAAAAGGCAGGCAATTCAAAGAAGTACTATAAAAATGATTACATACATTACTATTACAGAAAACGAGCAAATATTAACAAGAACTGAGGACTGGCATCACATGGGAAAACATAAACGGTAATTCCAAAATAATTCCTAATTCTATACCAACATTGGTTCAAAAGCTCTAAATAAGCAATGTGTATGGTACTGGCAGATAGAACTGAAAACCAGAGCAGGTAAACAATTATTCCTCATATAAGCTTTGCGTAGCTTGAAGTAATTTTACAAATTTAGTTCGAAGTCACGGGATTTTTGGTTGGTTTGGTAGGGTTCATCTCAAGGAAGGTCAGCTCACGGTGTGCCAGTGTCTGTCCAAGGCCAAGGGGGGAGGTGGGAATGCTCTGGCTGCCCCACTGCGACCCACATGCAAGCCAAGACAAGCTGGCAACCCCATGCCAGGAATGCAAAAATTACTCAAATTGCAACCTTGGTTATTTCTCAAAGGCTCATGACCATAAAATGACGGCGCAGTAGCTGCAAAATATCAGAGGAATTAGCTACTTCATTAGGATCGTGTCTACATCTGCAACAGACAGTACAGCTATTTTTCAGGTAATGAAGGCTCCCAAGAGAGAAAAAGGGTCATTTGATTTTTCCTTTGCAAACATTTTCTTTCTCATACCTAGACTCTCAACACTATGCCTTTCAGGATCACCCCTCTGCCCCGCTGCAGGGAGCAAATACAGGGCAATGGTTCGGTTTCATTACAATTTGACCACAGCTGACAAAACCACTGGCTCAAACATCTATCTGGAAGCTTATTAACCAACTGACAGTATTTTAAACGCATGTGCACACATGCACGCATTTCGATACAGAAAAGAACTATCATGTTGTGCCTGTCCCCGCAGAGCCCTCGGTCCTCTGCAAGACACCAAGCCCTGTCCCCTCAAGGGGTAAGGACTCTTGGCTCCCACCAGGTTCAATAGGAACTGAATTCCTTCCTTGCACAGCATCCAAGACAGCAAGCAAACACCTAGCACGTGGTTCAAAAAGGAATGTGCTTTATCTATTTCTTATGCTGTCTCACAGAAGAGCCCTACGCAAGGTCACATCTGAGCAGTTATTATTAGCTGGCTTTTTTTTGTTGTTGTTTTTTTTTTTTTCTCTCTCTCTCAACATCTTTGCAGAAGAGGAAAACAGTAACTGCTATCCAAATATTCATGACAAGCGGGCAAGTTCCACAAAGGAGATCAGATGGAGAATGGTCTACCCCCTACTATCCCAACAGACGAGCCTACAGACAAACTGCAGTGAATATAAGTATAACCTGTGGTTAAGTATAAACCTCGCTGACGGTCTCCATGGATTTTGTATGCTTTCTGGGAAGGGGGGGGTGGGAACCTCAGACACTGCACCCATCCTCCTTATCAATCTAAATAAAGAATAATCACAACAGAAACTGTGATCTCTCATCATTATCTCAACAGCTCTCAAGCACTAAGGATATTAAACTTAAAACATTATTTAATGCTAAGTGCTGTCAGACACGAAGTGTAATCCAAGCAAAAACATGAAACAAAGTTCAAAACCAAATGAAAACATAAAGCTTTCCTCCTTAGTATGCAAAATACTTCAATCTGAAACGCATCATATTCATAAAAACAGCCATGTACATAATGCTTCTGCGTTAATGAAGCAGTTTATCCGTTTGCCCAAAATAACAGGCAAACAACCTAAAGTCAGAGAGACTACTTGACAAATTTCAACACCGTTTCAACTGCTGATAAAAATTTCTGATGCAACTAATGATGAAATTTAAAGCAACAGCTCAAATTTTAACTGATGATTACAACTGGCAAAGTATCAAGCAGAACAGTGGCAAAGGTTGCATTACCAAATGGCTTACACAGCCTGCCTGGAGCTCAGATAATAAAATAAATATGTACAATACGCCAATAATGTCACCATAGTTACACCTGGAAGCCAAAGAGAACGAACTTACAATTTTGCATAAAAGTCACAAAACTCTTTGTAGAGTTTTATGTCACTGTGCCTACGTTGCAATTTTGACACCGGTTTCTCGCCTTCATTTCCTGCGGAGTTGTGGGCATCAGGAGCGACCTTGTGCATAACCTCTTCATCCTCTGGGATGGGGTAAGGGTGAGCTCTGCGCTGGAAGTCCATCTCTCTCCAATTGCTTTCCCGGGTGGATATATTTTATGCTTATACTGCAAAGAAGCTGTAGGCAAGGTCTGCAAAACAATATGCTGGACTTCCCCTTGTTCCCAGCGAAGTGATTTACTTTCACAGCTCCGTGTCATGTAGCCGGAGCTACTCAGCGCCCTGCTAGAGCTTCAAGTTAAAAGTTCAGCGGCGGGGCGGTGAGCCCGTCACGCTGTGATTTACTGATGCTGGCTGCGAGCGCAGGAGCACATTCCCCTGCCAGGCCCTCATGCAAACTCGGATGCTGGAAAGGGGCTTCGCTGCTGCCGGCTGCTGATAGAAGCCGCCCAGGAGAGCCATGGTGTGAGTAACCTCTGTGAGCAAACGTGTTCACCACCAACCTTGTCCGCAGCTACTTTCTGCTCAGGGGGGTGGGTGGAGGTGGATTCCAATAATATTTTATCGTGGGCAAACCAGCAGTGGAAAGGACGAAGAGTAGACTTCTGCCATTAGGTAAATATTGCTTTAATGCTACAGTATATTAATTATATTGTAAACTTGTAAAAATGGCCTTTAATGTTATTGAATTGGCCTTGAATTTATCTATAGGCATCTTTCTTGTCAGCACTTCAGGGAGGGGGTAGGTACAGATGGATAGTTTCGTTTCTGTTGTGCTTCACAGGCCATTAACGGAACTGTCAGGTATGCTGTAATGGGCAATATATGAAGGAGGAAAAATGAAGCTTGATTTCTAGTGGTGTGCTGCGTTTATAACAATTATCCAATGTAAGAACACTTACCAAAGTCATTTACTGTGGATATTAGGGAACTGAGAGAGCGAGACCAGGAAGAATGAGTAAAATTAATCATTCCTTCACCACAGAATGCCTTCCTAATGTTGCAATTATTTCATGGTTATATCCTATTTAAAAAGCCATTTGTGCACCACTTACTAGGGAAGGCAGGGTCGATTAGCTGCAGATCTGCAGCTAATAATTACAGTCCTGCAAGTTCTCCCCACCGGAAGCACTGCGCTGGCGGCAGACATGGGCTGCTCAGCTCCTAGTCACTGGTAACTGCAGACAACGCTGGGTTTTTGGGAAGCTGTCCCGAGTAACCATCATCTCTTGCGCTGAACTGACTCAGCCCTGTGAGCAACCGACTGAACTGCGAAACCACATGAACTTTGTGCTCGTGACACACGGCGTCTCGGTATCTGAAGAATCTGCCGGTTTGCCAGGCAGCGTGAGAAGGCAGAGGAGGACAGGAAGGCAACAACTAGAGGGGACAAGTAGAGAAATTAGGACTAGAAAACGACAAAGGATGTGACAGAGAGCCCAGTTAAGGCTACTACTTCTTCATATGCCTTCATCTTCCTAGGACCTACTGCAGAGGGTCTGGTTTATGCCGGTTTTGGGCCACATCTCTCACCCCAAGTTGGGATCGCGTGCGCGGTAGGCGTACAGCAGTGCAGACGCCGCTCTCCGGGCGCACAGGCCTGGGCTCGCACGCTGTCCCGCGGCCTGGCCAACTACACATCTGCTGCTGCACAGCAACGCCAAACGGGCCAAATTTCTGGGATGGGTTTGGTCAGGTGTCCTTCACCTCCCCAGGGCAAGGAAGCACCCTCTGGGCAAGGTACTCCCCTGCGCCACAGGACATCACGGTAGGTGGGACCCCGGCAGCACGACCCTGTTAATTTACCCGTCCGGAGGTGTCATTATCCCTCTTGCACCAGAGCTAGCAGGAGTCACAAGCTGTAACAGGCTGCGGAGGCTGCACCCTCACCACTGACATGGCTTGGAAGGAGCCCAAGCCCTATTTTTATCTGTCAGGGAGCAAGCTCCAGACCACGCAATGCTCAGGCTGTAGCCCTAGGCCACGACGATCTTGCCAGAGCACTGTGGCAGGAAACAACGCTGGAAGAAAAGGTTTCTGCATCCGCCAGAGCACCAACGATGAAACCGAGCACTGTTTGCTAACGGAGATGCAGGCATGGTGATGCCGGCTCTTCTTCTCCGTCCTGCTTCCCAACGTCTCCTGCACAGCTCAATGCTGGGCTTTTGTGAGTATGAGAAACTCCAGGGACACTGACTGCAACAGACGAACCATGCGGATCCATCCAGGCTTAGTACAGGTGCACCAAGCCACTAAGATAAGAAACAGCAGGCTAGTCTGTCTCTTCCCCTTATCACTGATGTCTCCTCACTTGTTTTCTTGTTACTTTGTCCCAGATTGCAGGCAATTCACTTGGGAGGCTACTGCTGCAAATCAGAGAGCCCTTTAAGTGTTTCTTTCTCCCAGTGGACTACTTCAGTCCTTACAGGAACCTGAAATCCGGAAACTACCAAGGTGGCTGGAAACCACCTCTGCTGCCTTGTGTCTTCTCTGGTCAACAGGAAAATAGCCACCCAGGGGCTTGTTTTTTCAGCTTGCTACCGCGGAGTCTTTTGCAGGGCTGTAGCAAAGCAAGGAGTACCACAAGTCAGTGCAATAAGATGTCCATCCAAGCAGCCTGTTTTAATCTTCCTAACTTTTTTGAAGAAGCAGTCCTGCGAGGTAATAGGACTCCTCCATATGTGCAATAAGTAGAAGCTGCCTGGTTCTTGAGGCCTATTGCCATTGCTGCTGGTGGCATTACTCTGAATTTGTTTTCCATTAAGCAAGAAAGGAGCTTGTCAGGAGTTAAAAAGGGCCTGTCTGCTGCTGAAGCAAAACATAGTTTCTACTATGAAGGTCTGGTAGTCCACAAAAAGAGCAGGTGACCATCCTTCTATTTTCTGTCATTTTGCTGGAGGCGTGCTGCCAAGATCTGAAATACGCTGTTAAAAATACATGGCATTTTCATTAGGGAATTCTAGGTTACTCTGAGGTGAAGCCATCCACAGGAAGCGAGAAGCTTGTAGGGAGTTTTTGACTTGCAGCAGCAGCTTCCCAAGGGCATTCCCTGGGACAAAATCTACCAGCCTGCTGTTAAGGAGGCAGTGATAAGGAGAAGAGCGAAGGGAGAAGTTGAGTGTTTAACTGGAAAAGGTATGTAGGAAGGAAGAAGACAGAGGGGCTCCTCCTGGCACATGAAAGGTCTTATCAGAAGCCAAAGCTGATGGCGGGGAAGGTGCTAAAGGAAACGGCATAAGAGGGGAGTGGAAGTGTCCCACTGCAGCTACGGAGAAGGGCTTCGGAAAACAAGAGCAAAAATAGCCGCATTGCTTTATCATGCCTGATGGACAACTGCCGCCCCGCTCACATGCTGCTTTCTCTGGGGAGCTTTCAAATCCGGCTGCCCGCGCCGGTTGCTGCCAGAGGCAGATGGGGACTCTTACAGAGAAGGCTCGGTGGCCGGCCAGCCCCGCTGAGCGTTTTGCTCCGTGCCACAAATAGACGTGCCGAGCAGTCACGGCTCCAAACAAGGTGCTTGGCAAAAGCAGCTGCTGCTTGGCAACCTACTCATGCCACCGTGAAATATCACTGCGTCACCGGCGCTGTCGGGAGGCCACGTGCCCCGTCGGGTTATGTGGGAGGGGGTGTAGGGGGTTAAGTAATCACAGTGCATCCTTTCCCTTCCCGCATAGGTACGGATGATTTCATTTTAATTATGTTTAACACCGATGCTACGCAATGGCCCTCACACGCAAAATGCAGAACAACTAAAATATAAGTTTTGCTGCAAAGTATGCGTGAACTTGCAGTGCCCTGCGATGATTTCTGCACCAACCTTTTAAAGCACTAATTGACCTTTTGCCTCTTTTTTTTATTGAAATTAAAAACACTCTTGGGTTCTGGTTGCTGCAGTTTATCTCTTAAGCAACAAAATACTTTCTGTGTTAAGCTGGTCACCTAAGGCAATTTGAAAGAAGGCACAAACACAATAAAGATGCACATTAAGGGTAGGATTTTCACATGTGCCCAGCACTGCTCTGACTTCTGTTTCTGTTAAAAAGGATGGAAAACCATCTTGAAACCACTGCAACAAAGACCAGTTGAATTCTGTGTGCTCCTAAAAGTTTCATCCTTTAGTCTTTGCCACAAAAAGCATGATTAAGCTCATGTGGAGGGAGTTTAAACAGGGCAAACAAAAAGGCAACTCTAGCTGTTTCATATACTTCAATATAAATTTATTCTAGTATAAACATGTCCAAAAAATGCTTTGGTCTCCTCAAACAGAGAAGGTTCACATTCCACCTCTCCATAAGGAAATGAATATAACTAGAATAAACAGGCAAGCAGCACCTTCCCACACAATTTTTTATCAGCCATACAAACACAGTGAAAAATCAGTCTCTGACAGAATTCATAGAAACAGAGAACAATATTTAACTATAGCACTTTCCTATTGTAAGTAATATTTCAAAAAACTATTGTATTTTCTTCCTGCTGCTTACAAACATTACCAAATGAACCCATGCTTCGTGTAAAACAAGAAATGACTTCTTCTGTGTACAGATACTTGATCCTCTTTACAACAGCCATCTTTTCCTCCCCCACTACTATTTTTGAATCCTATACAGACAGGAAAAACAAAACAACAAAAAGACGCAGTATCCCATATAAGAAGCTCACAAGAGCTCTAGTGAATTTGTGTTACATGAGACATAGCACACTATTGATTATTCTTCAAATGTCTCCCCTGTGTAGCTGACTACATATATACTTCACTATGGTAAATATACTGTACCTAAACTCTTCCAACTCAATATATTAAAGATGCATTTGCACTAATGTATTTCATATAACAGCATTTATATTCCCATTTCTAATTTAGGTATATTAAAAAAGGTCAGCTACTCAATACTAGGGACTGCTTACCTACTGTTTCCGAGAGACTCTGAAACCATCTTCTCAAGACCAATGAGCCACTATCAGGCCCACCAAGCTCAAAATTGCCCTTCCATTTGGACATACGCATGGTGAACTTCACAACACTGAAGTCGTTCATTTCTAAAATATGAAAGTGTTTGGGCAGAATAATATTTATACTGTTGGAAATCAAACCACTGGAAAGTCAAGGGATGCACAAAAGAGTGTTATCAGGCAATGGCAAGCAAATTACAACTAAGTATACATGTGCTCCTCATCCATTGCTTAAGGAACGGATTTAAATTTAAAATATGTAAAA